ACCAGCTTGCATTCCCACCAACAGTGTAGGAGGGTTCCCCTTTCTCCGCATCCCCGCCAACATCTGTCGTTTCCTGACTTGTTAATTTTAGCCATTGTGACTGGTGTGAGGTGGTATCTCACTGAGGTTTTGATTTAGATTTCCCTGATGCGGAGCGATGTTGAGCACTTTTTCATGTGTCTGTTGGCCATCTGGATGTCTTCTTTGGAAAAATGTCTGTTCGTGTCTTCTGCCCGTTTCTCCCAAGCAGCATCTTAACATAGCTGCAGAAAACTGTACAGAAGTCCACTAAGTAAAACAGATGAAGGCTACACTGTCATCACATCATTCAGGTCGTGTTACGTTGCAATGTTGTATAAATTTATTTTAAAATGTTCATTTTTCAGAGCTTTGTGAATTTTGAAACTACAGATGAGGGACTGTGGATCTGTATATATTAGAAGGGTACAGGTTTCAGCAGGTTCTGATTTTATTACTGCAGTTAAAGGAAAACAGAACAAAGTGCTGGCTTTACTGTGTACCCCATTAGGACATTCAGTAGTTTCCTCACTTCCGTCTTAGTTCTGTTTCAAGGAACTGCTTCTCATTTCATTCTTAGATTGCTTTTAAAAATCTCTGTCATTCTGTTACAAGGCTTTATGCTGAGTTGCAGATGGTAACAAAATGCTTGGCACCATTAAAATAGTTTGTTTTAAAATGCCTTTTATAATTTGATGCTTCATTCAAAGATTTCTTTCACTGTAGTACTGTTTCATTTCCACAAAATAAAATCATAGAAATTGTTTCTCTATTCTATGCAGAAATTTAGGACCCACAGGTTATGACGTGGTCATCAAAGTACCTAAGACTTCCAAAAGCAGGCTTTCAGGAGGAAGAAGCAAAAGTGCAGGGAAGGACAATAAAACTATGTTTATTCCTATTACGGGAATGTATTTGTCCATAGGAAAGGTGGGAAGAGCCCTGTGGGACTTTTAAGTAACAGGGTGGGGGTGCATTAGGCTATCATTTATTTTACTTCATATAGATAATACCCCCTTGAAAGTCATGTATGAATTAATTTAGGCTGTGCTAACTGTGGCCAGGATCTTAAAAAAGAGATCACAATAGTAGATTCCTTATCTATTTAGGTATTCTTTTTCAGCTTAAGTCTGAACAAATGGTCTTAACGGATGCCAGCAAATGATTCCCCATTTGCCTGGAAATAGAATTTTTTGTAAGTGGTATTTACATTATACATACACATGGAATTGATATATTAAGGCATTTATAGAAAGAAAGTCATCACCCCTTCTGCATGGTTCCTGACCCACACATGTATTTGCTTTTCTTAATTTTTTCCTTTATCTGCATAAGGAAATATTTTTGAAAGATCTTTTGGGTTTGTGTTTTTTTAAGATTTTATTTTTAAGTAATCTCTACATCCAACATGGGGCTTGAACTCATAACCCCATGACTCTTGAGTCGCATGCTCTTCCAACTGGGCCAGCTGGGCACCTCTGGGTTGTTTGTTTTGTACTATGTGTTATGATTAAACAAAACACAGACTAAAATGTATTTATTCTTATCATTTAGAATTTTATTAAATCAGTATTTTGCAGTTTGTTATCAACATGTTAAATTGTTTGACATCTTTTCTAGCTTATCTTACTTGAGGTGACATACACCGGCCTTTTAAGGAAAAGTGCTCTCTATAGGTTTACTGATCCTTCTGGTTAAGTAACAATATAGAGAATATATTTGTCCACAAGGCCACAGTGTTCGTCGTATCAGTAGGATTGTAATCTATAATATAATGTATCTATAATCAATCAGAGAATCAATGATGGAGTCAGTCTAGTACTTGCATTAGGTTTGAGGCTGCTTGTTTTTTGTAGGGTAGTCCCCAACTTCTAAAGAACTCATTCTTACTGGCTTTTACAATCACTGATGCAGCTAAAGGAACTACCCCGCTCCCCCGTTTTTCCTTCAAAACCATGCAGAGTCTGCCCCACAATGAAAACTGCCCACCCTCACCTCCACTTTAAGATTCCTAACCCATTTCCTTACCCTAAAATACCAAAATGCTACTGACCAAATGGAAATTGCAAATGGTGCTCCTCACCCCTACTAGACCCTGAAGCTGCATCTGGCTTTATACCCAGAAGGACACTAGAAAAATAATAGGCCAGAAACAGTGGAGGGAAAGAAAGTAGGAGTACAGGAGGAAGGGAGTCTAAGTAGAGCTCCCCTTATGAAAACTAATTTCTTAATTCAGAAATTCAATGGGATAATAACATCATCTTTTCTTTCATGTTAATACTAATTGAGGACAAGCGCTGAGGGCCTGATAGGCAGGAAGTAATGTAGGCAATTCTGGAAAAGGACATATTGCTCGAGAAGGGAATGAAAGAGGGAGGCTGCCCAGGTGGGAAAAGAAATGCAGAGGTGACAGGGTGCAAGAAACAATAGTCAAAATTTTCCTTGCAGTGACTTAACCTCGAAAAGTGGAATTAATTGCCTCTTTATCTTCCACTATTAAGACCATCAACCACCACCATCACCAGTATTATTAGCACTACAGATCTTCACTCATTGATGACTTTCTGCATTGGCCTGGAAACCCAACCATTTTTGGAGTGGAAATTGTAGAAACTTTTTGCCAAGCCTAACCAACCACTTTCCAAATAAACGCTGGAAACACAGTTTGTTTCAAGTGAGGGTGGCTACAGCATAGGGTCTACTTACATTCAGGGAAGAATAAACAGGGGACACAGCCATTTCTCAGCTTCTATCATTTAAGGGGTGGAGTGATGAAGATAATGGGCATGACATAGATTTTAAAAAGTCTGATTTGTGGTTCTCAGAGAATCTGTCCAGTTTAAGCCCTACCTAACCTTTAAGTAAAAACAAGTTTATACTATGCTCCCAAACAAAAACCTTAGAGAGGCCTCTTTTGAGACATACTAATTACAAAACAGATCGTTTTCCAGGGTTAGAAGCCAACCATTTCCTTGAAATCCTCCTTGAAAATATAAAGACAATGGCCTCGTGTAAAGAGGCACAGATATCAAGGTGAAGAGTTTTTTATTTGTTTGTTTGTTTGTTTGTTTATTTATTTATTTTAGATCATTATTCCCATGTTTCTACTCATTGATGGCACATAAACAACTACTTTAATTGATGTACCACAGCAAGCTCCTAAACTAATTACTAGTCAAAAGCAATAGATGTAAGTTAAGAAATGTCTCTACAGGTTAATATGTCTCTACAGGATACAGTCATTCTTCTCTGTCGATCTACAGAAAACAAATTCTGCCGAATACAGATGTATTAACATGACTTCTTATGTATGTGAATATTTCCATCTCTACAGTTGACTCTTGAACAACATGGGTTTGAACTGTACAGGTCCACTTATATGCAGATTTTTTTCTGATCAATACCATACAGTACTGTGCATGTATTTTCTTTCTGATTTTCTTAATAACATGTTCTTTTGTCTAGCTTACTTTATTGGAAGAATACAGTACATAATACATATACAAAATGTGTGTTAATTAACTGTTTATGTCATCAGTAAGATTTCTGGAGGAAGCAGGCTATTATGCTTTTGGTGAGTCAAAAATTATACTAGAATTTTTGACCGTGAGGAGGTTCAACCCCTAATCCCTGCATTGTTCAAGGGTCAACTGTATATATATTTCCATATATATGTATATACATGCAACAAGGCAGGACACAA